TCGCCCCCCCTTCCCCGAAGGTCGACTTTTTCGTTGGGCCTGACCCGAAGCACATGAGGAAGGTGATGTTCGACGAGGGCAGGGTGGTGGAGCTTAACAACCAGGCCAAGCACGCCGTCACCAACCGGTGGTCCAGAGATCGCGTGCACCTCATCCTGGACTATGTTGACGTGAGTTTTTTTTTTTTTTTTTTCGCCGGCGTNGAGGGCAGGGTGGTGGAGCTTAACAACCAGGCCAAGCACGCCGTCACCAACCGGTGGTCCAGAGATCGCGTGCACCTCATCCTGGACTATGTTGACGTGAGTTTTTTTTTTTTTTTGTTCGCCGGCGTAAGAGGGTGGTTGTTGTCTGCTGCTACGCGGTACCACCTGGTGGTGCACCAGGGGTCCCTGGTTACGGCCGCTTTGGTCCATGGAACAGCACCGGCCTTGTACAATCGGGCACCGGGCACTATTCGTGGCACGAGACAACTTGAATATTTCATGTGTGCTTATTAATAGTAGCGATTCAACCGGCCTTATACAGGGCAACCGTCCTTAATTGCGCGGCCTTAAACAGGGACCTCTACTGTAGTTGTGTTGGTTTGCTGCTGGTCACGATTCCGCGACTCCCCTCGACCCCCCCCCCCCCCNCCCCTTTCGACAGGAGTACCCCCTGGAATTCGTACGGCTCGCCCCTGGGTCCAAGCTTGCACAGACGCGAAGAAGCATCGACGTTGAGGGGCTGGTCACGAGACATGGGCCGGACCCTGCCTTCGTAATCCTAGGCGGGCAGAAGTGCGGAACGACCCTGCTTTACGAGTGCCTCAACCAGCACCCTCTCGTCGCGCGCGGTCGGCGCAGAGAAACGCACTTCTTCGACTGGGCTTGGCCGGCGAAGGGGGAGTCGCTGACGGTGGACCAGCTGCGAGAATCTTGTGAGTTTTCTTGACGCAGTTGGGGTTCCGTTGTTGTTGTTGTTGTTGTTGTTGTTGTTGTTGTTGTTGTTGTTGTTGTTGTTGTTGTTGTTGTTGTTGTTGTTGTTGTTGTTGTTGTGATGTTGGGTCATTGGCCATGTTGTTGTTGTTGTTGTGATGTTGGGTCATTGGCCATACTGTTGTTGTTGTTGTTGTTGTTGTTGTTGTTGTTGTTGTTGTGTGCGCAAGACGTTGGGATTCTGTTTCTTCATTCTAGACCTAGACGAGTTAACTTTGACGAGTTAACTTGTCGCAGTGGTGCCGTTATTGTTGTTGCCATTGGTCATATTGTTGTTGTTGTTGTTGTTTTTGTTGCTGCTGCTGCTGCTGTTGTTGTTGTTGTTGTTGTTGTTGTTGTACCGTTGTCGTTGTTATTGTTGGTGGTGGTGGTGGTGATTGCTGCGTTCGCAAGACGATATGATTTATACTCCTTCAGTCATTGAGGCATCAAGGGTCGTGGTCCGAAGACGGTACCGTGCAGTCTGCGCACGATTTACAGTCTTTTCGCCGCCTTTTCGCCGCCTTTTCGAGTGACTTCTACCTCAAAAGCTGTCCCACCCGCGGAGGTTTACGTTGTTTCCTTTTGGCCGGCAGTCAGTTCGCGAGTTTCCCACTTACGTGGTTGCTTTCACTCTGTCTCAATTCCCGCTCCTCAATCTCTCTCTCTCTCTCTCTCTCTCTCTCTCTCTCTCTCTTTCTCTCTCTCTCCTCCTTTCCGAGCACGACAGCGTCCTGGGTACGGGCGTTGTCTCACCGTCTGAAGTTAATACACTAAACAAACAANTCTGCCTTGTCGACCGCTTCGTCCGCACGGCTCTGCCTTTCCTATCGCTTGTGGTGTCTCGCGGTCCATGGGTGACATGTTGCTCTCTCCCTGGTCCCCGCTTTTCCCTCCCGCTTCCTCCATCCTTTTCATGACCGCGTTCCCTATCAGATATGGCGTTCTTCTACGCGAAAGAACTGAAATCGCACCCTTCCATCGTGACTGGGGAGTCGACCCCGTCATATCTGCTGCGTGGGTAAGGCAGATATGAGGCGGTTTTTGAACGAATTAAAAAGTAGCGATTTCGTTCTGTCGTTCGATGTATCCCACCTGATGCCGGTGTCGGCGGCGCTGTTGTACCAACACACTTCCCCATTGGTTGTTATTTGTAGGTTTTGTTCTGTGAGGTACTTCTTGCTATCCAAGGGACTCGCTGTATGTGATACAGGGAGAATTTCGACTTCAGTACAACGCTGTTGCCCTCCGTTTTATCCGCATGGCGTCACAGCATGGCCGCCATATGCTGGGCACACTCAACGCGGAACACCATGATTTTCGCCCCGAATTTGCTTCAACAGTGTCCCGTCGGGCATATATGACGTATTTGCCGACCCTCCCGCCTTCGAGCAGCACGCTCTGATTGCCTTCATCTGGCTGCCTCCCCGCGGTTGTCTCCAAGCGTACCCGTCGTTTGTTGTGCATGCCACGTTTTTCGGACTGTCTACCCGACCATTTCTTCAACGACTTTCACCTGTTGCGAATTTCAAGCTTGTCGCTTGCTACTATATTGATAGCCATGCCTCCACGGCAGGACTCTCTCTCTCTCATCGTGAATGGTTTTCGCAAAATCCTTAACAGCAAGCCCAAAGTACTTCGCTCGTCCTGCCCGTCCCGTTCCCTTGCCTTCGGCGGCCTGGGGTGTGTGTGTGTGATTTCTCACAGAGATCTGGTCATACCTCGATTGAAGAAGGTCGCCGGGAAGACACGCCTCCTGGTGATGCTGAGGGACCCCGTGAAACGGGCGTACTCGCACTACCAGATGGCGGTCGACCCAGAGGGCACCCCTGCGCAGCTGAGGAGTCGAGGTGCAGTTTTGCTCCCGATATATCGCGGTTCCCCTTGGCGCGCGGTTTCCGATAATTTATATATATGTATATATCGTAAAGGAAATTCTTGACACAACAAACTAGCCTGCTACTCGGTGATATTTCTTTTTTTCTTGTTGTGTGTCTTTGTGAAACCAGTTTTGTTCGCAGGTGCGCGCGTCTTTTAGTTTCTTCGTTTGCTCTTGGTTTCTCCTCTCGATGATTAAGTTACCATCCAGGGAACATAGTTCCTTTGGTTCAACAACCTTCCCTGCTGTTTAGTTACTATTCAGGGACCTTCCTCCAGTAGCACGGGTCCCGAATAATTGTGGTGAAATCTGTCTTTTTGTTTTCCGCGGCATGTGGGGACCACTATTGTACGGGACAGGAGGGGGAGGATCACACTGGCTTGCTAGCAGGTTGTGGGGGAATGTAGAGGAGATTGTGCCTCGCGGTTGCCGGGGTTGGTCCTGGAACGTCCTCCCTCGACAAATGTTTTTTTTTTCAAGTATACGCCCATGAATAAAATGGAAGACAAATTGTACCCGTTCGAGACAATTTCCACCGTTGAAAGGGGGCTTGTTGAAGTCTGAAGTCTTTGCAGTGAACTCGTAAGGATTGCGGCTTTTTTTCCCGTCCTCTGGTTTTTTCACAATATGGTGTTCGTTCATCTTTTCTGTGTTTTTGTGTGAAGCAGGGGTGGCTTGAAGATAGAAGGCATGGTTCTGATTGCAGTGCCGTCTTTCGACATTCCACGAGAAAATTTTCATACGCGTCTTGTTTCTGTCGGTCAGGCGGTGGAGGCTGGACGAGCAAGACCTTTGAGCAGGTTGTCGAGGAGGAGGCAGCCGTGCTCGAGAAAGCCGGTGTCGGCCCCGCAACTTCCCCGAGGGACTTCGCAAGGGACTACCTCAGCACACGACCAAACGGCTACGGAGGGCATAGGTTGGTGCTTTTATCACAGAAATGGCGATTTTTCTGTTCTCTTACTGACAACACCTCACATCCATCTCTTCCACAGAAACGAGTCCGTGGTAGACTAGCAATGAATTCAAAGGGTTGTCCGGTGATCAACTTGTATCTCTACGGCTCCACGAGCAGCAATTACCGATGTTGAGGGTAACAGGCTCAATACGCTCACGACCAAATGGCGACGGAGGGCACGGGTTGGTTGCTTTTTGGGGTTCTCACACTGAAACAAAACAAATTCATCTCTTCCACAGATAGATCAGAGCCAGCGGTAGATTGGCAATGAATTCATAGTGTTGTACGGTGACCCACTTGTATTTCTACGGCTCCCCGAGCAGGAATTACCGATGTTGTGGATAGCAGGCTCCGTAAGGCACTTTGGTGGCCATCGTTGAAAACTGGCTTGATCATCCGGCGCATGTCGGCACCAATGGGGATTTGCCCGTCGTGTACACGACATACCCCCTTCGGTGTGTGTTCCTTGTCTCTGCTGCAAAGCTCACCTCCGAACCGGATCGCCCGCCTTCCCGTTCATCACAAGAATCGAGAAAGCCGTCAAGTTTTGTTTTCCTTTTTCTGCATGCAGAGCTCAGGGTTGCCCCCCCTTTCACAATTATCGAAAAGCTCTTTTTGTGGTGTTTCCCGCAAAAGCTCACTTCCGAACGGCGCCCCTCTCGGTCGGGCCCCTCACGTCGTCGGATTGTTTTTAATCAATTATTACAACCCCCCGCGTGCTCCCCCCCCCCCCCC